GCAGGAATGAAAACTAATGCAGAGTTATGAGCTTTTCATTAAAGCACTGAAGACACACCCCAACATGCACACAAAGTCCCTCAGCAAAGGCTGGGAGACTTATTAGATCAAGGCCTTTAAGGAAAGCTTTGTCTAATAATTAGCTGACCATTAAGCTAACCAAGCAGAGACTTCAGTGGCCACCCATGACAAAGAATACAGACTTATGGAATTAGTTCAATAAAATCACTTAACAAACAAGAGTAACAACAACGTACAACAATTACAAATTCTAGGCATCTATGCAAGAGGAATAAAAACATATGACCATGTAAAAACCCATACATAAATGTTCATGGCAACATTATATAAGAGCCAAAAAGTGGAAACAACTCAAATATCCATTAAGTGATGAATAGATAAACAAAATTTAGTATATCTAAACAATGGAATATTTTTCAAGCAGAAAAGTAACGATGTACTGATACATGCTACACCATGAAAGAACACTGAAAACATCATGCTAAGTGAAAGAAGCCATACTCAAAAGGCCACATGCTGTATGATTCCATTTATATGAAATGTCCAAAAGGGGGAAATCCATAAAGACAGAAAGTAGATTAGTGGTTGCCAGGGGCTGCAAGGAGGAAGAAATGGGTATAAAGTTTCTTTGGGGGATGAGAAAAATGTTCTAGAATTAGACAGTGGTGATGACTGTTTAACTTCGTGAACATACTAAAAACCACTGAATCATATAATTTAAAGAAGCAAATTTATGGTATGTGAATTATACCAATAAATGTTTAAAAAAATAAATAGAGAAGTAATCTAAATTTTCATTTCCAATTAATTCAGAAAAGGAACCACAGTTCTTCATAATAATAACAGTGCCGATTAAAAAGCCAAACTTTGGGGCTGGGGGAGGAATAAATTAGGAGGTTGGGATTAACATATATACACTACTATATATAAAATAGATAAGCAACAAGAACCTACTGTATAGCACAGGGAACTATACTCAGTATTTTGTAAAAACCTATAACAGAAAAGAATCCGAAAAGGAATACATACATACATATATATATATACATATATGTGCGTGTATAACTGAGTCACTGTGCTGTACACCTGAAACTGATGTGACCTTGTAAATCAAATATACTTCAATTTAAAAAAATAATTATAATAATAAAGCAACCCTCCACATGTAAAAAAAAAAAAAAAAAGCCATACTTCCAGCTTTTAATTTTCAGGAGTCAATTTCTAAATTAACTTGACCAAGGTAAGCAGTAACCAGGATGTTTATGAAGGTTCACCTGAGACAAAATCAATTCATTTCATATGGGTTACTACACAGCCACCAGAAATTATGTCTTCCTGTCACTATTGCCTAGTACCTGATTTTGATATATGACTTAAGACTAAATGAGTTATGATGACTACCAATCAAATTTTAGAAACTTCACAACGTGTGCAAACTTCTTTAAGTGCAGCTAAAAGGTCCTTATATATTCACTTTAAAATAATATTAATAGCTCATACTGTAGGCTGGACATTATTCTAAAAGCTTTAATTATATTAGGATGAATGTTTGCAGTTTCTAATATTCAACTGTGTTTAGACCTACAGAAATAGTAAATTCATATGGTTCAACCTAAGACTATGCTCCAAACAAATCCACTATATATGATGTAGCTAAAGCATGAAGAGTTATAAGGAATATGCCAATAGCTAGTAAACAAAGAATCAGAATTTGTAATTAGACAGTTGAACTTCAGACACTCACTTTTAACCACAATAACATTAACAGTAATACTAAGCTTACGGCACTTAAAGATGTGATTTTCCTGAAGACAATGTCTGTCTTGCCTACCAATATATTCCCAGCACCTAGCATAGGACCTTAAACAGAGTAGATGTTAAATAAATAATTGTTAAATAACTAAAAGCAAAAATGATTAAATGAACGAATAAATACTGAGATATATTTTCTAACCTCCAATAGCTTACCATCTTAAAAGACAAAAAAGATCTGTACAAAAATACAGGCATACCTTAGAGAGATTGCTGGTTTGGTTCCAGACCACTGCAATAAAGCGAATATTGCAATAAAGCAAGTCACCAACATTTTGGTTTCCCAGGGCATATAAAAATTACACTTAGAGTATACTGTAGTCTATTATGTTTGCAACAGCATTATGTCTAAAAAAGCAGTGTGTATACCTTAATAAAAAAACACTTTATTGATAAAAAATGCTAACCATCATCTGACAACACAAGGTTCCTTCCCACAAACCTTCAATTTGTACAAAACACAGTATCTACACAGCACAGTAAAGCGAAGCACAGTAAAACTAGGTGTGCCTGTAACTATACGACAGAATGTGGTAGCATGAGAGAAATACAACACATCATGGCATTCTGGAGAAAGGCTGGATGTCACAGAACTGGTGTGCCAAGCTGTAGTAGTACAGGTTCTGAATCAGGCGATTTCTGAGCCCTACTTCTGCCTGCCTCTTATTAGCTGGGTAATTTTCACAAATACAGATTTACTCAAAACTTAATTCATATCAAATGCACAATGCCTAGAACATATTAATACTTGGTCCCTAATTTAAAGGACCCTAAAATTTAATAGGGACAAACAGATACATAAATCAAAACATAACCTTTCTAAGCTTCAGTTTCACGGTTTGTAAAATGAGAATAATAATAGTTACCTATTAAGAATCAACACAATAAAATATGTCAAGTACCTAGCAAAATACCTGTTATATAATAATCGTTAATAATTAGTAACTCTGTTGAACCATATTTTGTCAAATGAAGAATTCCCAAACATTAATAAACAGAATATGGATAAATAAAAAAATGATGAAAACTATAAATTCAAGTTATTATTTTAAGTACAGAGATGGCTGCCACTATTTTATACCACCTACATATGTGTAAATTAACTCATCCTAGTAGACTTTTATTTACATTTTTCTTCTAAAACTTGTAAATATGCAGACACCTGTTTAATATAACAGAATCAGTACTTTTACTATTCTCAATGTATGTGCTGACACAAACAGGTGCAAGTATATATATATTAGCATACTTAATTTTCTTTTCTAAGGAAAAGCCAATTTTCTTTCTAAGGAAAAGCCAATTAAGTGAACTATTTATTCTAAAGGACTATGAACACAACAGAGTTTTTCCCTGTTAAGTCCATTTCCATAACTAAATCCGGTTCTAATTTACACTTTTACATTTTTATGTATGAGGCCTGGAACACTAAGAGAGACTGGGGGAAGAAAACAGTACACGAATGCAACAGGAGTGCAAAAGAGATCAGCAGCAGTCACAAAAACAACTACCTCAGCCACCATTTAAATATTCCAAGAGTCATATTCTGGCTTATGAAGACAAGGCAAAGTATTCTGGAAAGATGTCAAAAGAATGCGTTTGCAAGTAAATACCTGATGAAATGTTAGGTGAAAACAAAAAACCCTCTAAGAAACATGACTGATAAATAAAAAGTAGAAGGCAATGAATCATCCTGACTTGTGTGTGCTATATAAAGGTCATATTCACAGTAACACCAGCAACTGCACTCTCCAAAGTTTCTCACATAACAAGAAATCCTTCTCAGCAAACCCACTAGCGGCTATTTTTGGATTCAAAATCTTAGCAAAAATTTTTATGGTTTATTTCATCAACCGTATGTAAAATATATAACTCTCACCCCGTTTTTCCATTTGAAACTTATTCAAATACTTTCTGAGTGTACACTATATTTCTAGGCCTTCTAGCACTGTATATACAAAGATGATTAAGACACTCTCTCTACCCTTTTATAGTTACAAGAGAGGAGAAAGATACACTGAAAACAACTAGATACAGAATGAGAATGAAAGAATGAAAGCATGAACAAAATGTGGAAATCACAGAAGTGGAAGCAACTAAAACTGCTCAGGAGAATCAGAAGTGATTTCACAAGGAAGGTGATAAGTGAGCAGAATTTTAAAGGATGAATGGAAATCTTTCAGGTCCAAAAATGCAGAAAAGGCATCAGAGGCAAAGGGAATAATATAAACAAAGACATGAGGCATAAAATATGCATTATGTTTGAGGAACAAGGAAAAGTTCACCGTGGCTGAAGCTCTGGTATAAGGGGTATGGGGTCGAGCCTGGAAAAGTTCACCGTGGCTGAAGCTCTGGTATAAGGGGTATGGCGTTGAGCCTGGAAAAGTTCACAGTGGCTGAAGCTCTGGTATAAGGGGTATGGCGTCGAGCCTGGAAAAGTTCACCGTGGCTGAAGCTCTGGTATAAGGGGTATGGGGTCGAGCCTGGAAAAGTTCACCGTGGCTGAAGCTCTGGTATAAGGGGTATGGCGTCGAGCCTGGGAAAGTTCACCGTGGCTGAAGCTCTGGTATAAGGGGTATGGCGTCGAGCTTTTGCTACGAAGGGCCTTGTATGCTTTGCTACTTCAACTGATAAGTTTGGGAAACAATCTGAAATATTTAAAAGTTGAGTGACAGGATCAGCTTTATGTAACAAGGAAAGTAAAATTCATATAAAATCAAGTGTTACAGTGCCTAACATAAAGCAGCCATTGAGGTAGTGGTACTAATATTAATACTAGAATATGTACTTAATAGCAACAAAAAGACTATTCACCTTATGTCTTTGATAGTTGCTCGTTTCAGGGGGTCAACCTGTAGCATATGCATCAGGAGAGTGGCAACAGAACGATTGAGATATTCTGGGATATAAAAAACACCCCCTCGGATCTTCTTAAACAACGTAGGCACGTGCTCATCATCAAATGGGAGGGTGCCACAGAGAAGAGCATACAAAATAACACCGCAGCTCCAGATATCAACTTCAGGACCTGCATACAATCTAGGGGAAAAGATGACAACACAAACCTGAAATGCAAGTGTCACTTCCCATCTACGTGTACCCTGCTTCTATATGTACCTATATACTCAGTACAGACTCTATATGTATTGCTTTCCAAGGTCTTTAGTGAAGTCCGTGGCCACTCCACAACACTCAATGGTTGTTCCCCAGAAAGAATAAGTGATCTAACCAAATACTATTCCAATTTCCCAAGAGAAAACAGTATTTTTATTTTTTTGACACAAACTAAACTGAGCTTACTAATTGACTAATTAAAAAATATAAAACTTTCTATGGTTGATTTTTGATAGAAACATCGAAGTGGATGACCATAAATTTGAAGAAAAGCAATACTATATAGTGTATAGGCTACATCTTCTTACCATAAAGCTATTAAAGGAAAATGCATATATAATAGAATGTTTATGCCTGGCACACCTATTTTAAAGAATATTTGAAATAGTAAAGTACATAACTAGTCCTACTGCAATCTCTTTCACAGTATTCACGCTGTATCACATTATCCTGGGTACCTACTACTTTCATTCTAACCACTTGGTAGCCCCTGGGACTAAGATTACCTTTATCCAGAAAACCTATGCCTAGAATGTTATTCCTTTTTCCTCTCACCTTTCTACATTATTAAGATTCCACTGATAGCACATTACCAAACTCAAACCTAAGTCTGAGGTAACAAAGTAGATCTCTACAATTCCGATTAAAAAACTACACTCCATTTCAATAAAAATTGCTGTCCGTTATTCATATTGTTTGCTGTATAGTCCAAACTGCTGTACCTACAATAATACCTTTTCTTTATTTTCTCTCATAGAATTCTGTAAACTTTAAACATCAGACATTGGTCACCATAGAAGACTTGAATTTATCACTGCAATCTGTATAAGCATTTTTAAAATGTACCAATGAGTAAGTTACATGAATAATTACACAGTCTTCTCTTGTGCAGTTAACTTCATGAAATGACAATACTGTCCCCCCAGAAAACCTCATTCTTCTAAAGACAAAACATAAAAATAACACTCTGTATGCTTTATAAAAGAGTACATACAGGATTATTAAAGGACTATGTCTGAGAAGTAAATAATGACACTAGCTTAAATGCAGCAAATGCTTGCTCTCCTGGCCGCAATTTTCTAAAATGAAAAAAAGAAATCAAGTTTTTTTTTCAGTTTTTAGTGGAAAAACTCCTTAAATACATTCATAACAAAATCTAAATCAAATGTTTTAAAAAAAATTGTTTAATGTAAGGAATCTCTCTTCAACAACTGAAAAACTAAAGGGACAATATGTTTCCATTATGTTAAAAATCTTATCTTCCAAAGAGAATATATTATAGTTAAATGTTATCAGAATGAACAAAGCATTACAGAAAGCTTACTCTTCACTGATACATTATTACCTGCCTGAGATGACTTCAGGTGCTGCATAATTTGGGGAGCCACAACTAGTTCGCAGAAATTCACCATCTGACATCATATTAGATAATCCTAAAAATAAGAGTAATATGTTTACCTGGTGCTACATATGTTTAAAACTAAATACAGATAAATGCATAAGGAAAAACGTCAAGTCTGTAATGCCTCACATATCATAATGTTTATTTTTAAAAGCAGTAGAAAGCATTTGTTGGACTAGAAAGACTCCATTTCAGAGTGCTCATACATGACAAAAAAGCCAAAGCACACCATGCCTAAGATTGAAATTAAACTCCTTTTCTAAATAAGAATGTTGATTCACTTCACAAATATGAGGTTATTCTAAATTATATGAACTTTTCCAAACATAAAAGCATCAAAATATTATCTACCCACTTCTGCAAATGAAAGAAAATAGAGACTACTATTATTTTTTATACTCTGCTTTCAAAGGCATTTTTAAAAATCTCTAAGTAGAAATCAGATAGGCTCCAATTTATAAACATTACGTTCCAAAAGTTTTTAATTTGGAAAGCTTTAATTCAACATAGAAAAATATTCCACTGAACCAGAAATCTAGCTGAACTACAGCACTAAATGAGCTTTGTGATTTAGAGAAGGAAGAGAAATAGGAAAATGACTTTCCTGGCTTTTAGATTAAAGACAAGGTACAGACAAAAGTTTTAAATAAGTAATGCTGAACTCTGATACCTTTTCATCTCTTTCTATAATCTCTCCCTTTCTGACCCTCTCCTCTACTATGGCACCCTGTCCAGGTATGTTTATCCCAGAAAGTGTTTGGGGCATAAAAATTACATTTTACTCTCTTATTTTACCACCAACAAAAACTCCTATTCTTCTACCAAGTTGTTACATGTTACCCGTAGTCCACTGACATTCCTCCTAGATCAATTCGGAAGGACTGCAATGCTCCAAAACTGCGCACAAATTTTCATGTACCTCCATTTAAGTGCATTTATCAGGGAAAGTGCCCATGCTTTCATTAGATTTTCAAAGGAGTTTGTGGCCCTCACAAAAAAACAGTTAAGTCTCATTTCCTGAGGAAGCAATGCATATTGAGTGGATTTACCTTGACGCAAGCCCTCTGAATGTCTCTAGAAATACTTGCATTTTTAAAAAGTGGTTTAAATGAATAGAGCAAGCTAGTGTGCAGACTGTCCAACTAATCCCTTTTCACGGTATAGGATTTACATCAATGAAGTTGAAAGTTCTTAGTTCATTAAGAGTTGGTACTGACACACTTGCAAAGGCAGCTGGCACACGTCTAACAACCCTGGAGTTGCATACCAAAGTCAGCTATCTTGGCATTCATGTGTGCATCCAACAGCACATTCTCTGGTTTCAGGTCTCGATGAACGACCATATGCCTGTGACAGTAATCCACGGCAGACAGAATCTGCTGAAAGAGGCGCCTGGCTTCCATCTCTTCAACCTATCAGGTATAAAAGAAACTGCACTAAGAACATTTGGGACATCTACATAGCAATAGTTTTAGTTTCATAATCAGCCTAAATATAACTGAGTACACTAATTAGAACTGTGCTAGAATTCTCAACAAATGAGACAAACAAGCCAAAAACTTGCATTCAAGCTCACATGTCAATCAACAGGTTTTTCTTTGCTGCTAGGCCGTTCACCTTCAATTAATATTACTAAGCGTGTACAGTGTTTCAGGGAATCAACAAGTAAAACATAATCTAAAACAGAACTTACGTGAAATTGCTAAGAAAAGGAAATAACTGAAGCTTCAACATGATGTTATGGAACTGATTTTTCATCTTGAAAAGCACAGGCTTTTCACGCTGGCAATTAAGTGGAATATATTTCCTAAAACCAGTATTTCATAAGGTGTACTTTTTAAGAAAAATATATCTAATACTCTGTATGTTTAGTTAGACATTATTACAGAAGCAACCCCGACTCTGAAGATACCTTTGTGGTTTGCTATTTCTCACTACTTTCTTCTTTTTTAGCTTAAGGGCTTATTGTACTAAACAGCATGTTACTCACCCGTCCATGTTTACAGATGTAGTCAAATAATTCACCACCAGACACATATTCCATTACCATAAAAAAATCTGTTGGAGTGCTGATCACCTGGTATCTTTTTTGTAAACGAAAAAATTTAATAAAAAATGTTACTCTAACCAGAATCAACCTAGTACATCCATTCTTGCTATAAATTGATATTCCAGTATTCTACAATATTTTAAGATGGCAACAAATTATATAATGTTATCAAAATAATCACAGAGCTATAAGCATGGAGCTTCACAAAACTCAATTACTTCCTAGGGCTTATAGACTTCCCTTCAGATCCCCCCTTTCATGTTTACAAAATTTAGGAAATCCTTCATTCCTCAACAACTAAATTAAGCATCAATTTTTCCATCTAAACAAAAATTTGTTTCTAGTCTACAGAGATGAGGTAGCTTATATTTAAACGTAAGTGAAAAATATTCTTGGAAAGGTAAAATGATACCAAAAGGGATACAAATCAGCAAAATCTATAAAGTAGACAAATGATCCTTTCTTCAAAAAAATGAAATGCAAAAAGAGGGGAAGGTATAGATTAAAAGCAAATCAAGAGACATACTGACCAATTATACTGTATAGACTTGTTTTCATTCCAGTTCAAACAAACCAACTTTAAAAACCATTTATGAAACAATCAAGAAGATCTGAATACTGACTGGATGGTTCATGATATTCTAACTGTTTAGGTGTGATACTGAACTGTGCTTGTTTTATTAAAATAGAGCCTTTAAATTCCACAGTAGATACTGAAGAATTTACAGACTAAAAACATACTATTTGGGATTTGCTTCAAAATAATTTGGGGTGGGAGAAGTAGGAGGAAGCAGATAAAACAATACACTAATAACTACTGAAGCTGAATGACAGATAAATGAGGCTTCATCACTTTACTGTTGTATTCATCATGAAATTTCCATAATAAAAAAATTAAATAGATGTATGTATTTACGTAAATGTACGTGTTTATGTGTGTGAAAATATATATGTATGTTTTCTAGGCACTCAAAGCTGAGCACATAAAACAATAAAGAACCTTAGCTCTATTTGACAAAATAAATTTTTTCCTAAAAAACTACAACTTCCACATACACACACAATTGTACCAGAGTTTTGAAAACTTTAAATACGAGTTAAATATAACATTAATGTTTTAAATGAAGGTTGCATTTAACACATATAAAAGAAAAACTGTTCTACTCTGCTTTATTTATAAAGAATTATTTATAATCTGGTTAATCATGAGCAGTATCTAATTTACACTGAGTTGCTATTTAAAGCCACTAAGTGTAGCTGGCAGTTCTGCATGGCTTAAAGGCACCCAGTGGAAGGCACAAGCAGGGGCTGAGAAGTGGCCCAGATGCCCCCCTGTAGGCAGTATACCTTGACACAGGATGTGCCAGAAGCAGGGGAACGTTTCGGTAATTAGTCCACCCAGATGGGGCAACTTTTATTATTAATGTGCAAAAAAAGAGAGTATGTTCTAAATGGCGGTTCTGGTTACTAGTCTTCATTAAAGAGGAGGGAAAAAATGACCAGGAAGTTGGTGATATAACTATACACTATATATTTTAAAAGAGGACACATCATGTATAAATTAAACACTTGCAAAAAGTAAAATATTAACACAACATTGTAAATCAACTATGCTTCAATCAAAACAATAGAAAAAAGTAAAAATTAAAGCTGTAGTATTGAAAATGATTACAGACTTTCAGAAGAAATATTTACAATAGCCATCGTCAGTCTTTGGGATGAAAAATGACAAGGTACCCCACTTTACACAGAATAAACTACTATAACTGGCAAATAAGGTTGAGTCTACTTCAAATGAACTGTGAAAGGGGAATCTTCCCTGAGAACTGGAGAAAAAAGATGGTTCTGTAAGAGCAATCCTAACAGGCAGCAAACTCTAATTGAATAAAATGAATACTGAGGGGCAGGACCACCCGCTGTGTCACTTCACTGTAGGCTGATCTGATTCAGGAACAGAATTCTCAGTGATCACAGCCTAGATTTTATTAACTCACCATGAAGTTTTAAATGCTGGCCAATTTCCATAGTCTAGCAATGAACTACGGTCTAAAGGAAATGCTCCCTCAAAAACCCCACTGTCTCTGAAGTGCAGGCCACCAGATCACACTACCCAATACCCTTTCTTGCTATAGTCATCAACCAACCTTGTTGTGAACTCCCTCCCATTTTGACTTAATGTCTCTTTCCCCACTGCTAATGCTTTCATCATTCCGGGTGAACAAAATATCCATCTAGATGATCTGTCCAATACATGCCCTCTAATTTCCTTCACTCCTCAGTTCTAACTCTCTTTCCCTCTACCACACACAATGACTCATTCCACTGTCATATACTGTCTAAGACTAACTCCTCCAATTATGCACTTATTATTCCTTTGTCCCACCTACTAAAGGACTTGTTTTCTACAATTAGCTCTTCCTCCTCAGCCTCATTTTACTCAATATTCAGCAGTATAACAACAGTTAATAATCTCTCCTTCAAACACATTTTCCCCTTGGCTTCAAGACGCCAAATTCTCTTGGTTTTCCTCCAATCATTTTAACTGTTCACTTTCATTCTCCTTTGCTGGTTCCTCCTCATCTCCCAGACATCTTAACATCATACTGCCATAGAGATCAAGCCCTAGAATTCTTATTTATTTATATGCACATCTTTGGTGACATCATCTAGTCTTTGGGCCTTAAATATCTTACATACCATCTATACGCTGATGACTTCCAAATTTATCTCTGGTTTACACCTCTCCCCTTAACTTCAGACTCACATATCAAATAACCTACTTGCATCTCTACTTGGATGCCTAATAAACATTTCAACTTCAAAAAAACCAAAATCGAATTCCTGAAACCTAACATCCCACTTCAGACTTGTTCCTCCTACAATCTTTTCCATTTCAATTGATGGCAACTCCATTTTGGAGTCATCCTTGACTTCTCTCCTTCCACAGCCTACATCTAATCTGTCAGCAAACTCTGTTCTCTATCTTGAAAATATATACAAAATATGCTTACTTCTCAACACCCTCCACACTATGCTCTATTCCAAGCCACCATCTCTTTTGCTCAGAATACTGCAATTGACCCCTAACTGATTTCCCTGCTTCAGTGTAAGTCAGGTCACATCACCCCTCCGTTCAAAACTTGCCAATGGCTTCTCTTTTACTCAGAGTTAAAAGCCAAAGCTCTTACAGTGGTCTAGTATATTCTACACAATCTGGCTCCCCTTTATGTCTCTGACCACATCTCTTACTCCAATTCCCCCTAGATCACTCTGCTACTATGATCTACCTACTACTGCCTGTAGCAATTTCCACCTCAGAGCCTTTGTATGTGCTGTTCTCACCATCTGTTATTTCCCCGCTCCAGATATCTGCAGGCATATTCCCTCTCCTCTTCACTGTCTAACATACAACATATTTTACTGACATAGCACTTATTGTCTATCTCTTCAACGCCACCCACTACACACACACACACGAAATACACACACACACAAATATGAGCTTCATAATAGCAGAAATTTTGTTGTTGTCTCTTTTTGTTTGCTGGTGTATCCCCAGTACCTAAATAGTACCATCTGTTGAATGAATGGATCAACAAGCTAACACTCTGGGCTTATTTTCCTTCATCTCTCTATACATACTCTGTACATAAGACAAACCAGACTGCTTGTTCCCAACACACCATGTTCTTTACACTTTCATTCTTTTGCTTTGCTGTCTTCCTAGAGTCATCAGGACCTTGTTCACATGTTACTTCCTTATAAATGCAGTAAGTAACCACTGAACACCTAGTATTGTACTAGGTGCTGGAGAGATAAAGATGGTATTGGACATCTCCACTTGGATATCTAATGGGATTCTCAACTTAACACAGCCAAAGCAGACCATTAATGTTCACCTGTATCCCAACATGGTTCTCCTCTGTTCTTCGTATCTCAGAAAATGGTATCATTATCAACACCTAGTTTTTCAAGCCAAAACCCAAAATCCCAGTTGCTCAGACAAAAAGAAAAGGTGGGGGGAGGGTCCTCACTCCCTTTCTTTTCCTCAGTAATTTATTAGTTTTACCTCCAAAATATATATTGAATTGACAGATTTACCTCCAGCTAGACCAGTGTGGTCAGATACAACTTTCTGCAATGATGGAAATATTTTTTATCTTCTCTGTCCAATATGATAGCCACTAGCCACATGTGGCTATTAAGCACTTGAAATGTGGATAGTGTGATCAGAGAACCAAAATTTTTAATTCATTTAATTTATGTCACATATGGCTAGTGGCTACTGTATTGGACAGCACAAATCTATACCACCACTTGGCTAAAGCCACCATTTATCTGTCAGCTGGACCGTAGCAACAGCTTCCTAACTGGTCTCTCTGCTTCCACTTCTGCCTCTGTACCCATTCCACACTATGGTCATATCATGTCACTCCCCCAGCTCTCTGAAAGCTTCCCATTTTGAACAGAATCCAAAATCAGCAAGGTCTTCCAGGTTCTATGATATGTGGCCCATGTCCACTCTTTGACCTCATGAACCACCTCTCTTTCCATCATTCACTCCACTCCAGACATTATAGCAATCTTCTTTTTCCTATAATACTCAAACTTTGTTTTAACCTCAGCAACTCTGAGACTGCTGGTCCCCTTGCTTTAAAAACACTCTGTCCCCAGATTCTCAAATGGCTAGATCTTTATCATCCTTTAGGTCTTAGCTCAAACCGTACCTCTCAGTGAAGCTTTCTTAACAACCCAATCTAAATTAGCACCTCCTCCTTCCTCGGCACACCCTAGGACAGCACCCTGTTTCACTCTCCTCATAGTACTTATCAGTGCCTAAAATAGTCTGGTTAATTTGTTTACTTACTATCGAGAACTGCTAGATACGCCTAGAACATAAACTCCACAAGGGCAGAGATGCTGTCTTTTACCACTGTACCCCCAATGCCTTACCTATCAGATACTAGGTGCCCAATAAAAATTTGCTGAGTACAAGAAAAAATAAACATAGCTTCTGCTCCTAAAGAATTCAGTCTCGTGGCGATACTAATAAGAAAATGACCAATTACAATATAATGCCCAGGACCTTGGAAAAGCTGAAATTCTGGGTGCTCCAGGACCGAGAGGATGAAACCTAACCCAGTGTTAGGACTAGGGCAAAGTAGTTTTTCTAGAGGTAGTTGCATTTAAAAGCTGATATTTAAAGGACAAGTTGGAATTGGAAGCCTAGAGGAAGGGAGATATAGGTAAAGTTTTCCAAGCAGAAGCAACAGTTGAAATATAGCAAAGCAAGGGAAGATGGTGACCTGACAATAAGAGCAGAGAGAAATGAACAGACTTAGGGGACACTCAAGATTAAGAGTGGCAGAACTTAATGACCGATTATATATGTAAGGGGTGAGGGAAGAGGAGTTAAATATGATGCCCAAGTTTTAGGCTTAGGAAGCTGTGTGAACGGTATTTTCATTCACGCACGAAAATATGTGTATATATGGGATAAAAAGTTCAACTTAGTTTCAGATGACTCTGTGACTCCAGAATGGAAACACCCAATAAATAGTTCGATAAATGTGTTCAGAATTCAGGAGCAATACAGAGTTGTAAATTTTTAAGATAGAGATAACAAATGACACCCAAAAAGGGTTCACTAAGATTACTCTAGCTCAGAATGCTGAAATACATCAATATCTAATGGCCAGGCAGATAACAAGGGACCCAGAATAGAAAGTCTCAAGAAGAGGCAAGAATGTAAAAAGAAAATCAGAAGACTGTGGTGCCATGGAAACCTAGAGACTACAACATTTCAAGGTGGTAGTGATGAATAATGTTAAAAGCTGTCCGTAGATTGGATAAGATAAACATTTTTAAGAGTTGGCAGGCAAAACCATCTCTACCAAATTAGAAAGTATTGATCCTTTGACCAGTTAAAATGAAGTTTCCCTAAGGACCATGGGGGAATGAAAAACAAGGACAAAAGTCATTTCAACAAATTCTAGCTCATGGGAAAGTTTGGAGTTTCCTTTCAATCCTGTTTATTCCTTTTAATTTTCTCCCAGTGGGGTTTTTTCAATTGGAATTAATAGAGAAATTGTGCAATATATAACCTTCATTCTTAGTATTTACTTTTCAAACTTTCTTGCTTACTCTAGAAGCCCATTCTGTAGCAAGGAAACTATTCTTGGCAGTTAGTCCAAGACTGCAGAGAACAAACAAAACGACTAAGAGGATCAGGTCTCTCTCCCTGTTTAAATCACTAACGCTGTTAAAGGCTATGTCAGTAAGCTTGTTGTGTAGCAAGAATACATGAGTGCCTTTTTAAAAAACATTCAGATCCACAATTAAAGAGGAAATGTGGCAGAATGGATAAGCTCAAGGCTGGAAGCCAGAAGCTTTAAACATTAAATTCACCTCTGCCAATTACCTTCTCACCAATATTGAGAACATTCTATAACTCCTTCACGAAACAGCAAATGATTAAATAATTCTAAAACAGAATGATATAAGTAATCAAACCAAAATCAAACAATTAGAAGTAATTACAGAAATGGAAGGAAGAAAACACTAGTAGTTATAACATCAAAAATAAGCTTCTAAATCCTCACGACAACTGCAACTGCTTATTGACAAAATCTGATTTGTGTTTATAGGAACAGAACAGGAACTAGAACTCATACCCTAAATGGACCAAGTTTCCCTGGGATCTTCCAGGGTTGGCATTCTAAAAGTGGTGAAGTCAGGAAACAAGGAAAATACAGAGATCTCTCCCCTCTCCATTCTCACTTTGGCACGTGACATTTTTAGTCTGGTTTCCCAGTTTTCTCCTCTTACAGGAAGTGACCACTCAGTAAGGAAGAGCAAAGAGACTTAGCTTAGAAGTCATTCAGGAACTAGAATAAAGTCATTACTAACATGGAGCTGAAGTCAGACATGAGCTGTTTCAGTTAACTGAAAATCATTCGGAATCATGAGAGGACTGGAATCAGCTTGCAGGCTGCCAATTCCTGCTTCTGGGCCAATGCACATCTAATAGCAGGCATTGTAACAGTGAGAACACATTTAATCCTTAAATAGCACCATGGGGTATCCCCATTTTAAAGTTAAGGAAACAAAGAATACGAGAGTGAGTCACTGAACTCATAGGTGATATTTTAATTCCTATGATAATCTTTAAAAACCTGTATATACATATTCTGGATTACCTAGAATACAGGTCCTAGACGACAACCTCATAATCAAGTACTGCCATACAATTTCAGGGGCCTCATTTCCTGTTTACGTTTATGATCAAGTGAACTTCAAATGAAGATCAAATGACACTGAAGCTTACTGTTAGAATGAAGTTTTCATCATAGTGATGTGAGGACGGAGTCATCACAGGTCACCCAACGGCACACCAAACCCCCAAAAAGCCTTCTTTGAACAGTCAGTGACATATTCATGCTGTTGGTAAGATACACTGAGTGGGACCCTCATTTAACATACCAATTTGCAATGGTTCTCTAGCAATAAATGTATCTAGTTATAGAAATACTATAAATACTAGAAATATATAAATGCGTGTTCCAAATCCCAGCAATAACTGGATCAGCCATTCATTTAAGGATTTCAAGAATGCTACTGTATTGGTTTCCTATTGTTGCCATACTTAGAACTTAGCGCTTAAAAAAACACAAATGTATTCTGTATTATCTTACATAGGGGTAAGAAGTCTGATAGGGTAGAAGTCTGACACATGCCTCACTGGGCTAAAAAATCAAGACATAGCAGGGCTGCATTGCCTTCTGGAGGCTCTAAAAGAAATCCATTTCTTTGTATTTTCCAACTTTTAGAGACCATCTGCAATCCTTGGCTCATGGCCCCCTTCCTCCATCTTCAAAGCCAACCACAGCCAGTTCAGTCCTTCTCATATCCCATCACTCTGACCTTGCTTCCATCCTCAAATCTCTTCCTCTGGCTTATGATTCCCTCTTCCACTTCTAAGGACCATTGCATTACACTCAGACCACCCAGATAACCCAGGAAAATCTCCCTATTTTTGTCAGCTGATTAGCAACCTTAAATCCATCCATAACCTTGGACTGCTCCTTTGCCGTGTAATATAACATACTCACTGGGGATTAGGACATCTTGGGACTGGGGGCCACTATTCCCTACCACAGCTACTACGCAGTCTTGTTATTAGGTAAACAACATACCTCTAGAGGGTTATCAAGTCGTTCCCCATCAACGCTGACATCTAAATATTACTCACTAACAAAGTTTAGGCTAAATATAACCTCTGACTATAATGACCTAGCAAACAAAGCCTCAAAGATATTAATACTACTGCTTGTCGTCTCAGTTTTCTCAGTACTGGAGTAGAAATTAACAGCATGGCATTTGAAATCAGATACGAACTCAACTACTAGCTCTGCAACTTACTAGCTATTTAACCTTGGACAAGTTGCTGATCCTCTTTAGATATGCAATTTTCTTATCCATAAAATGAGGATAATAATACTCCTTATATGCTTATTGTGAGAATGAAATGAAATTATGTATGTAGAATGCTCAATACACTTTCTAGCCATTATCAGGTAGTCAATAAAATTAATATTTATTTTATTAAACTCTATCCAAGCTTTAAGATAAAAGTAAAGACAGTTTTCAGTGTTTAGCATATCACATTTTCGCAATAAATATTAAACATAACTTCAAATGATGTAAAGGAACACTGCTGCATACTTAATGTCTAAATTTTCTATGGGTCTAGTTGATTTTAAATTATTATTTACCTTTCAATTTAATTGCTTAGTTTATTTATTAAACTCTTAATTTACTTATCTTCTAAGTTTATAACTTGTCTTACCCAAAAAGAAAAAAATTCATTTGCCTTCCTAAGGGCTTTATGATCAGTAATTAAAGTAATGATTGCAGTTTGGCAAATAATACTCAATACTATGGCAGATAATCTTTAATAGTAACTTTCTACCTTTTCCATAAAGAAAATATCTTGGTATGTTAATTAAAAGTGACTAGAAAATAATTATTAAAGAAATCTAGAAATAGCAAAGTACTAAATGACCATCAACATGAATATTAGCGAAGAGCCAATTTATAATTAGACTTTTAATTCTAAACCAGAAGTATGCAAAAAAGGATTGATGAGGTTAAATGAATTAACACTTGCTAAATATAAATATGAAAAAAATTGTATATTTATAAAAGTTTAACTAAAAATAAATAATTATTAAATATAATATTTCAAGACAGTTTCTCTTTTATATTATCAAGTGCAAAAATACTTACAGTTTGATAATATGAGGATGACGAAAGAGTTTTAGATTTTGAATTTCTCGTTTTATTTTTCCAACAACATCTAAACTGCGAATCTTCTGTCTATTTAAAATTTTAACTGCCACCTTATGGCCTGTTAATTGATGTTCTCCAACTAGAGAAAAGAAAAAGGAAAATAACCTTGCTGTCATAGCAACATAATTATTTATTCATGCTTCCCTCCACTGTAACCCCAAACTTCTTTACTCATATATGCCTCTTTGATATCATTTATTGCATAGAACAGAAGATATCTCTTTTCATGTCTGTCTCTTCTACTGGAGTATGCACTCCTTGAGGACAGAAACTATATCTTAGTCTCCTCTGAATCCTCAACACCTAGCACAGAGATGTTAATTAAATCTTTGTGGAAAGGATGACTGAAGTCCATATTCTTACCTAAAAGTATAATCAAATTTGAAACATCTTTTGGAACGAATAGAATTTACTATGTTTTGTTAATCTCTTTCTTTCTCCTCTTCTGGTTAATCCAGTCATTGTATTATTGAAGAATAAATAATTGCTATAATAAACTAAAACTCATAACTAGTTTCAAAACTATTTCATCAGAAAATCCACAAGTAACCCTTTTTTTTGCCTTTTCTATAAAGCTTTCCTGTTTTCTCCCTATTTGATGGAATCTCAAATTATGTAATACTGAGGGTTTGAACTTCCTCCAAACCCTCACAGTATATTTATAAAGCTCATGTGTCATTCATCATTTTGAGGCTATTTTATATATTTGTATTTTTGAAAAATCATATGACATGAGCTATTAGCTCTTACCCTCCTTGAATAAGACAGTCAGTATTCATCTGAATCTCCTAGGAAGTATATAAGCACAGTATTTTGTACATACTGGATGCGTCATACTTCCTGATTTCAAACTACATTACAAAGTTATAGTAATCCAAACAGCATAGTACTGGCATAAAACCGGACACAGGGATTAATGGAATAAAGAGCCCATAAATAAACTCATGCATATAAGGTCAATTAATTTATGACAAAAGAATCAAGAATATACAATGGGGAAAAGATACTCTCTCCAAGAACTGGTGTTGGGAAAATTGGATAGCCACATGCAAAAGAATGAAAATAGACCCCTATCTCACACAGTACATAAAAATCAACTCAGAATGGATTAAAGACTTAAATTTAAAACCAGAAACCATAAAACTTCTAGAAGGGGGTAAGCTCCTTGATGTTAGTCTTAGCGATGATTTTTTGGGACTTGACAACAAAAGCAAAGGCAACAAAAGCAAATATAAACAAGTGGGACTAAATCAAACTAAAAAGCTTCTGCACAGCAAAAGAAAACATCAACAAAATGAAAAGGCAGCCTACTGAATGGAAGAAAATATTTGCAAATTATATACCTGATAAGGGGTTTTAATATCCAAAATATATAAATTACTTAACAACTTAATAGCAAAAAAACAAATAATCTGATTTTAAAAATGGACAGAAAAACTGAATAAACCTCTTGCCAAAGAAGGTATACAAATGGCCAAGTACACAAAATCATCAGGTAATCATCACTAACCATCAGGTAGATGCAAATCAAAACCACCACCACAATGAGCTATCACCTCACACCTGTCAGAATGGCTGTAATTAAAACTGAAAAGGTAACAAGTGTTGGTGAAGATGTGGAGAAAGGGGAACGCTTGTGTACTGCTGATGGGAATGTACATTGATGTAACCACTATGTAAAACAGTATGGAGGTTCCTCAAAAACTAAAAAATAGAACTACCATATGATCCAGCAATCCCACTTCTGGATACTTGAAATAAAAACAGGATATCAAACAAATATCTACACTCACATGTTCATCGCAGCATTATTCACAAAAGCAAAGATATGGAAACTACCTCAGTGTCCATGAACATATGAATGAATGAATAAAGAAGATGTGGTGTGCATATTCCCTCTTTCTCTCTCTCTCTCATGTACACACACACACACACACACACACACACACACACACAGTGCAATATATTATTAGGTCATGAGAAAGAAAGAAATCCTATTTTCAACATGGATGGACCTTGAGGGTATTATGCTAAGTGAAATGAACCAGATAAAGAAATATTACATGAGATCCAGTTATATGTGGGATATCGAAGAAAAAAAGTCAAACTCATAGAAACAGAGAGTAGAAAAGTGGTTGCCAGGAGCTGGGGGATGAGGGAAATAAGAAGTGGGTAAAAGGGCACAAACTTTCAGCACTAAGATGAATAAGATATGAGGATCTAATGTAAAACATCACCATGATGAACACTTTAAATATTTTATAATTTTGTCAATTATACCCCAATAAAGCTGAATCTTTAATTCAAGTTTTTTCAAATCATTTCTTTGTCTATGATACCTGAAGAAATAACACACTCATTTATCTTTATACCTGAAGAAATTTTTCCTCGTGAAGCAACGGCAAAGAAATGGCATCAATGGAGTTGGGGGAGGATCAAGATGGCAAAGGAGTAGGACGGGGAGCTCACCTTCTCCCACAGAAACATTAAAAGCACATCTACAAGTGGAATGATTCATACAGAAAATCTACTGAACACTGGCAGAAGACCTCAGACTTCTGCAAGGGCAAGAAAACCTCCATGTAACTATATAGGACAAAGGGAAAAGATAAAGAAAGGAACTGGGACAGGGCCTGAACCCCAGGAAGGGAGCTGTGAAGGAAGAAAGGTTTATGCACCTTGGGGAGTACCCTCACCAGTGTGGAGATCAGCCTGGATGGAGGGGGAGCTTTGGAGCCTAGGAGGAGATTGCAACAACCGGTTTGTGGAAGGAAAAATGGAGAGTAACGAACACAGAAGGTCGCCACTGCCACCCTGTGCTCCCCAGCCTTAGACACTTGCCTGTCAGTGTGGGTGGGGGCTGGGTGCTGAAGCTCGGCCTTCAGAGGTCAGGCCCAGGAAGAGGACCGGGGTTGGATGTGCAGAGACAGCCTGAAGAGGCTGGACTGTGGCAACTGAGGGGGTACTCAGAAGAAACCAGAGCTCACTGGAGAGGCAAGGTGCCATTATTTGGGGGTTCACGAGGAGAGAGGCGGGAACACCATAAGAGCTTCTTTCCCAGGCAAGAGGACACCACCTACAGGAACTCTGGGGGTGGGCACAAGTTGTCACTACCATCCTGGGCTCCAGAGGAGTGCTGTCCCAGGAGTGCATGGGTAGTAGCCACCCTTAGGAGACTGGTGAGCAGGTGCCAAGCTCTGTCCCGGGAGCGTGGGAATGGTAGCTGCCCCTAGCAGACCCGCAAGCAAGCAATGAGCCCTGCCGCCGCTCTCCCCAGAGTGCACAAGGGCCACTGCACCTGCATACGCTGTATCAAGGGGATAATAGCCAACACACGCTGAGGAAAGAGACAGCCAGCATCCAAACTAAGAGCAGCCCCTCAATCCCATAAAAGATGGTGGAAGAGAAGAACTTGAGCTCACTTCCTCTCATGAAAACACCAAAATCACAACTTACTGCTGAATAACCATTCACAAAAGACTAGAACCTACCAAAAACGATATTTTACATTCAAAGACAAAGAACGAGCCACGACAAAACTGTAGGAGGGGTGCTTTCATGACATAATCAAATCCCATACCCCTTTGTAGATGACCCACAAACTAGAAAATACCTATATTGAAGAGGTTCTCCCACAAGAGTGAAAATCTTGAGCCCCTGTCAGGCTCCCCAGCCTGAGGGTCTGGCATCAGAAGGAGGAACTCCCAGACCAGCTGGCTTTGAAGGCCAGTAGGGCTTGAGTGCAGGAGCTCCACAGGACTGTGGGAAACATAGACTCCACTGCTGGAGGGCTCACACAGGTTTCACATACACAGGGACCCAGCAGCAAGCAGTAACTCAATAGGAACCAGGGCTGGACCTACCTACAAGTCTTGGAGGATCTCCTGGGGAGTCAGGGGTTGGCTGTGGTTCACTGTGGAGGCAAGGACATTGGTGGCACAGGCCCCAGAAAATACTGATCAGTGTGAGTTCTCCCAGAGGTCGCCATTTTGGTATCAAGACCTGGTCCTACCCAACAGCCTATAGGCTTCACTGCTGGAATGCCTCAGGCCAAATAACCAGCAGGATAGGAACACAGCCCCACCCATCAGCAGACAGGCTGCTAACACCACACTGAGCTCACAGCCATCTCTAAACACATCCCTTGACAAGGCCCTACCCAGCAGAGGGACAAGACCTAGCTCCACCCACCAGTGGGCAAGAACCAGTCCCTCCCACCAAGAAGGCTGCATAAGCCCAAGGACCAACCTCACCCACCAGGGGACAGACAGCAGAAGCAAGAGGAGCTACAATCCTGCAGCCTGTGGAACAGAAACCACAATCACACAAAGTGAGACAAAATGAGACAGCAGAGAAAAATGTTCCATACAAAGGAACAAGATAAAAACCCACAAGAACAACTAAATGAAGTGGAAATAGGCAACCTACTTGAAAAATAATTTAGAGTAATGATAGTAAAGATGTTCCAAGATCTCAGAAAAATAATGGAGGCACAGATCGAGAAGATACAAGAGATGTTTAACAAAGAGTTAGAAGGTTTAAAGAACAAAGAAACAGAGATGAACAATACAATAACTTGAATGAAAAATACACTCGAAGAAATCAATAGCAGAATAATCAAGGCAGAAGAACAAATAAGTGAGCTGGAAGACAGAAAGGTAGAAATCACTGCCGCAGAACAGAATAAAGAAAAAATAATGAAAAGAAATGATGACAGTCTAAGAGACCTCTGGGACAACATTAAGTGCACTAACATTCACATTATAGGGGTCCCAGAAGGAGAAGAGAGAGAGAAATGGCCTGAGAAAATATTTGAAGACATTATAGCTGAAAACTACTCTTAACATGAGAAAGGAAACACTCACTCAAGTCCAGGAAGTGAAGCGAGTCCCATACAAGACGCTAAGACACATATTAATCAAACTGACAAAAATTAAAGCACCCCCAAAATTTAAAAGCCACAAGGGAAAAGCAACAAACAACATACAAGTGAATCCTCATAAAGTTAACAGCTGATTTTTCAGAAGAAACCTGGCAGGCCACAAGGGAATGGCCATGATATATTCAGAGAGAAAGGGA